AACGATGACTCTTCATTTCTGCAGGAGAGCGTTACACATCCCCTGGCATCAGGCCTGCTTACTGTCTCCATTCCTGACATCTTAATAATGGCATGTAAATTCTGAGCCCCTCTTTGGACATTAAGTCCTTTCTTTCATACGGCTCCTGGGTGCTTTGGAGTTTTACACTTAAACACCTTTTAAAATCTGGCTAACGGCTACTAGGTGTGGTAACAGGATAATGAGACCAGCTCTGCTATTATGGAGAGGGCATGGATGGCCATCTTCATCACCGATCTTCATCTTCTGATCTTGAGATCAACTGTGTAAATTATTTCCCCTGGCAAAACACAGCCATCTGCAAAAGTATCTGTAAATGGCACTTGTGCCCATGTCAGCTTTCAGGTAAGCCAAAAGCAATAGGTGTCAGCTTGGGAGGGAAAATGAAAGGTAATTATATTTTTTTTGTCTGTCAGTAGGCTTACTTTATGAGAATGAAGCTGCAGGCTGTACCATCTCCACCGAAAAAACACAGGCTCTCAGTAGCCGCTGTCACATAACATGAGCAGCTAGTGGGATGAACCCAGCCTTTGACACGAGGTGAAGCCAAGAAGGCATAGAGGGGACATCTAGGAGTCGAGCTGCCTCTCAGAGAGATCACAGCCTGTAAGTCTAGCTCGATATTGCAACTGCCTCCTCTCTGCTGCCAGAAATCCTGGGTATGGGTGAAACGGCAATGGAAAATCCCACTAGATCATGGTCCCACCTCAGGCATACCTGGTTTGGTAGGCTCAGCTTTGCCACACAGGAATCCACAAGCGTACTGAAAAATTAATAGTGGCTCCGGAGACTGAGGAGGAGTAAAAACCACTAAGCTGTAACATTTTCTCTTTAAAGAGAGAAGAACTGCACAAGCAGCCCCCAAGCCCTGACACTAATTCAATGGGATGTACCCAGGTCCCACTGATGCACAGAAATTTTGTCAGAAGTTTTAATTAGATCAAGATGTTGGTGTCTGAGTTTCACTGCACAATTCTTTCTGAGCTTATGACTAATTCCTCAGTCACCTAACCTCCCCTGAAATGCTTCCTATAGTGTTGCTTGCAACACTGAAGAGTGGATTTAGATAGGACAAATATTAAATGTGGGCCTTACTAAGGTTGTTGGGCGCAGATATTTCCCCTCTCTCCAGTGCATTAATTTCCAGATCCAACACAGCCTCTACTGCTCAGTTGTGCTGTATAGGGGACTGGCTCCTTCAGAGTCATGTGAGCCATTATGATATGGATCAGCTATGGAAAAGGCCCAGGGTCTCCCCAGATCCTGGCATAAGTAAAGGAACAAGCTGCTGACTGCACTGTATTTCCCTGTGTCAGAGGAAGATTAATAAATGTTTTCAGGCTGCTTTGAAAATTAAAAGTGCTGTGTGGTACAATATTGCTGTTCCTGTTTTTCACCCTGTAGCTGATATGTAGCATGTCCCTTACAGACCAGCTGGAAATTGCTTTTGGTATTTTGGGGGTTTTTCAGTGGAGCTGCTACAGACTGCTGCTTCGTTCTAATAAATGTGCCCTGCCTCACCCTCCCCTGTCCCCCTTCCTCTAAGCTCCTCTGCAAGGGAAATAAAAACATCAGTCCCTGGCACCATCTGTCAAGCAGAGGCTAATCCATTCTCTGCTTGTCTCATGGTCAATTTGGTTTCTTTCTGATTGGTCCAGCCACCCTTCCTATTGCTGAGAATTTAATACTATTCATAGGTTTGGGCTTCGCTTTATTTTCATGGTAATATTATTATGACGATTGCAATGTTCAGACATACATCCCCGCCGTATGCCCAGGCTGGAGAACAGTACTTAAGCAAACATGCAACCACCCAGTAGGGAAGGTAGTGTTGCTTTCCCCATTTTACAGAGAGGAAAATGAGGCAAAAAGAACTGACTTGCCCAGGGATGTCCAGATGCCTCAGTAGCAGAGCGAAGCGGAGAGCTCACAGGTCCTTGGATGAGACCCAGTCACTAATGCCAACTAAAGCACCGACGCTTTGCCTCTCTTCCCTCTTGTTTTGCTTTGTTTACAGTGATCTCTATGGGTGCTTTGCAAAGATGATTAAGATGCGGACCTTCATATAGCTCCCGTGACAAGACTGAGCAGATCCACTGGGGACAAAGCTCATGCTTACTCAGCGAGGCACCACAGCAGCTCAGGTCAATCCGTTAACAAACAGGGCACATTAGACCAGTTATTTCCTCCATTCACTGGTGGTAAATGAGACCCCAGGCACAGTCTTTATGGATTCCTTCTAATATTCTTAGTACTTCTGTTGTCCCTGTGCCATTAACTAAGCGGAGATTACTGTCTGACAGACTGCTCCAACACTTGCCACTTCCTTGACATGATCTAAACAGAGGTTGATGACAGGTCAATGAGAAATGTCAGTGCTCAGCTCTGTTCAGGATCAAGACAGAGTTGACCATACTGAAGAGATCTTAATTTTTGGAGGGCTGCCCAAAGGGAACAGCAGTTCTTAATGTATCAACGATGGCCCATCACTGACTCACTACCCTCCTGCGGATGGTTGTGCACCCCTCTGCCTAGCTGTTTCTAACAGTAAAAGAAAAGAGTCCATGGAAGAAGACACAGGTTGAAGAACAGCTGGGCATATAATTATGTGCTGCTTGCTGTACATTCACAGAGATGTCCCTTTGCCTTTGACATGACATGACAGAAGCGTCCTGCCGAGTCATTCCTTCCTGCAATTACTGCAGCTCCTCTGGTGATACCACATGGATAGACCCAGCAACCACCGTACCTGAAAAATACACTTTCTCTGACATGGGTGTGATATTATTAAAACAGAAATCCTTAAAATGGCATGGCTTGCCCCATAGAAGGAAAACCCCACCCCTTTTCATGTCTTTTTCATACCCAACAACTCAAAAGGATTTTTTTTCATTGTCTTTTGGCCAAGACCACTATTTATTTGCCAAGGATGCAATCTGTGTGTACACAGATCCATTAAAACTGGCAGGGAATTGCTAATGCCTGCAACCAATGGCCAAGAAGGGCCATGAACACTTTGCCTCTTTCTTCCCTCATCTTTCATCTCCGTCACGGGCAGTATTTGTGTCACGCAAAGATTTCAACTTTGAGTGGCCTGAAACACTGCAAGCAGTATCAGTCCCAGCTTCACTGAGGTAGGATGTGGCTGACAGCCACCTCAGCACCTTCCCCCGCCACACACCCTCACAGGGCCTGTGGCATGGTGAGGCTCGCTGCCAGGGCAAGCCAAGGCCCTGGGCATGCAGGGGCCTGGGGAGGTGAGCAGGCCTGCAAACAGCACTCCCCTCCCTCCCTGCCAGGCCTACGGCAGCGTGCTCTCGGGGCACGGGCAGGCACGG